TGAGGTGTTCTGTTGTTGGATGTAATAATGAACATAGCAGTAGTCATTTACTTCAGACATCTGAGCCGCTGAACTTGCAGTGGATTATTTGTTTCTGAAGGGAATGTGCCCCCGATCTACCTAAATGCGTATATGTTCGCGCAAATCATTCATGATCCAGCCTCATCTACAGAAGATGTGAGTATAATGTTTTGTAATGAATCTTTGCAAATCGCCTTTCCTAATAATGTGCTAATTAGCAAATTTCACGATGAATGTGGCTAAAGTAAACAAAACTTTTAAACAAAACTCTGAGAGCAGCTCGGAAGAGAGGGGCGGGGTCAGCAGAGCTCATTAACATTTAAAGGAAAATGCTACAAAAATGGCTTGATCTGAAAAGAGCTGTTTTTGACAGGGTAAAAAAGGTGTTTTTTACTCTACCATTGAGAAATTTTAACCAAACTATGTTACAGACTTTTCATTAAGACCCCAAAGAATCATATCAACTTGTGGAAAATGGGCATCCTATGACCCCTTTAAAAGAAAGCCAAGTGAAGTCATTTTAAATTCCTGGCCATTTCCTCTGGTCTCTTATTTAATTCTAGCTTTTTTCATACATTTATGGTGTGTCTAAAAATATAGTTTGTAATTACTTTCTCCCTTTTACACATTTTTTGTTCAATTTTTTTTTGTTCCTTCCAGATCCATCTTGACAGGGTGGGGTGTGGTGACTGTCGTTACTGGAACTTTTATCTTTGGCCAGAGCACAACTATAGCTGTTATGGAGCTGACGCACAAATTTTAATCTTCGTCATGGTCTTCCTCATTTGGAATATCATTGTCTTGACAAAATGTGTTTGTATATTCGATTGATGGATGAATAACAGTATGATACTTGAAACTAAGGAACAGAAAATGTCACACAACAGTGCCTTATGCTTGTATTACTGTTAGTGCTCAGTTTGATATGTTGTGTGTGTTTGTGTGTGTGTGTGACTAAGAAAATGTGCAGGAGGATTTTTGTTTATATATTTATTATATTGTGTAAGTTTAGACAAGAACAATACATTTATTTAAATGCATTGTATGGAATGAATATTGAATATTGCAGTATATGAATACAAATAGCCTATAAAGAATGAATGTGTAGAACATTTGCAATAACTTATTATTCATTGACTTATTGATTTATATGAATAACTTATTCATTAAAATGAATTAACATTTGACTTAATGTGAGTGTGAAATTGCATAACCTCTATGAAACATTGTTCATGATTTGGTATTGTAATCAATTGAATCAGCTTTTTATAATATAATTTACAATAACAATAAAATTTTGGATGAGATAAAAACAAATTTTATGTGTTTAATGGGGATATTTAGACATGTACTGTAAACAAGTATTCATGCCTTTTTAATAGGTTTAAATGTGGGTCAAGTTCGTAGGACAATAGGAGGGTTAAATAATGCTAGTAAGAATAAGAAAAGGAATCCAGTGGGTGAGGTAAGAAAACTGATAGGCTATGGAAATACGATTCCGAAACACATGAGGTCACATGACTAGGAACCGGACGTTGCGCTGAACTGTTCGAGTGTATCGCTGAGCCCTCAACCTATTTCGAAGAAAACTGACACAATAAACGCCACATTAACTCTTGGTGTATGTTGCTTATACGAACCGATTTACAGCCGTATAACTCTCTCATGGATGAAGTGTGCTGATAGCCTCTGAGGGCACTTATCTGCGTGAAGCGGCAGTCATTTGAGTGAATTAGCAGGTTAGCCGCGCTCCATCATGACAGTGGCGGTGTTTTTCGGCTGTACGTTCATCGCTTTCGGGCCAGCAGTCGCTTTGTTCGTGTTTACAATCGCCAGGGACCCGCTGCGTGTGATCTTCCTCATAGCAGGGTAGGTATCAGGGCAGATATGCTGCTCTCGTCTCCCGTTGTGAGTGCGGTACAGTGTGGCTGAAAGTCCCGTGATACAGCACTTCACTCGGGCTGAGACCTGCCCTTAACATCTGCTGACAAATCACTTGGATCTGAGGCTTAGAAATATTATTACAAGAAGATACAACTTTAAACTCTAACAACTGTAAATGCAAAGAGAAGTTTGGAAATCGTAAGACATTTACACGAATAGTTTGGGGTCAGGAAGATTTATTTTGTTTTTAATCAATAATTGTGTCCAGCAAGGATGCATTAAACGGATTAAAAGTGACAGCAGAGACTTTCTGTTCATAAAATCTTTAAAACTAAAAAGGTTTCCACAAAAATATGAAACAGCAGCACAATGATTTGCACAATGAACAGTTAATTCTGAAGATCATGACACTGAAAACTAGTATGATGGCTGCTGAAAAAGCCAGTAATATTTCTCAGTTTATTTTTGATCAATTCAATGCAGCCTTGCTGAGACTTGTTTAAAAAAACTTAAAAAACTAAAATCTAACCGATCCCAAACTTTTGAACGGTGGTGTAGCTTTTGAACAACAGGGTAGCTTTTGAGCGAGCTACTCCTTTAAGAGCACTTAACAAGCAATGGAATGGGGAAAGCACGTTTAGGTGACCGAGGATTCTGAGCAGTGTTTGAAATATGTGAGAGTATTTTTGTCATGATTGTGTTTGTTTCAGGGCTTTCTTCTGGCTGGTGTCTTTGTTGCTGTCCTCTCTTGTGTGGTTCATCACAGTTCAGATCAGCAACAAGAACAGTGCCACTCAGCAGACAGGGCTGCTCATTTTCGGGGTTGTGCTCTCTGTACTGCTTCAGGAGGCTTTCAGATATGGTTACTACAGATTGCTGAAGTAAGAATTAACTGTTCATTTTCTGTGTTTGAAAGGAGCCACATAATCAATAAACCTAAATATAATGGCATGCCATGTTCTTGAGCGTTGACTGTTAATATTTCACTGATAACAGTGGCAGGGCTGTGTTTTGTGTGTTTGCTTTGAGGTCATCTACACTGTAAAAAAACTATTTGTTGAGTCCACTTAAAAAACGCTGTTACCCCACTGCCTTAACATTGTTTTCTCTTAATTTTTTTTTCTCGGTGTGATGCAGTTGTTTCAACATGCATTTTTGAGTTGAAACAACAGTTATGATAGTTCATTCAACTTTCAGCTTAGTTGAGGGTCAATAAACTGAAATGTTCTTGTTGTCTGGACAATTTATAAAAACATTTGTCTACAAAAAAAAAAAAAAGTTGAAATGGCAAAATCTCAAAATAATTTTTTACAGTGTATATGCTAGTTTACACTTGAACCGACACTTCATTTTTAGATATACACATTTGAAATGTACAGTCTTTCTCTTCTGTGCAAATGGAAGCAAAACTATTGATGCACTAGACAGTTTTTTTTTTTTGTCCAATCAGTTGCTCTCTAGAATTCTTCATGTTTTTGAAAGAAGCTTTTTCTGCTCACCAAGGCTGCATTTATTTGATTAAAAGGCAGTAATATTGTAAAATATTATTACAATGTAAAATAACTGTTTTCTATTTGAATATATTTTAAAATGTAATGTATTCTTGTGATGGCAATGCTGAATTTTCAGCATCATTACTCGTTTACATTTAGACAGTTAGCAGACGCTTTTATCCAAAGTGACTTACAAATGAGGACAATGGAAGCAATCAAAATCAACAAGAGAGCAATGATATACAAGTGCTATAACAAGTCTCAGTTAGCTTAACGCAGTACACGTAGCAAGGGTTTTGTTAATTGTATAATAAATGAAAAGAAAACCGATAGAATACAAAAAGATTAGAAAGCTAGTGTTAGTTTTTTTTTGTTCGTTTTTTTACTCCAGTCTTCAGTGTCAGGTGATCCTTCAGAAATCATTCTAATGTTCTGATTTGGTGCTCAAGAAACATTTCTTATTATTATCAATGTTGACAGTTGTGCTGCTTAATATTTTGGTGGAAACTGATTTTTCAGGATTCTTTGATAAATAGAAATCTCAAAGAACCGAATTTATTTGAAATAGTAAAGACGTTTGTAATGTTACAAAAGATTTCTGTCAGTTTTGATGTAATATATCCTCACTCAAAAGTTTTAATTTATTTAAAAAAAAAATGTACTGACCAACAACAGTTACGCTATCTCACCCAATCTTACTGTTTCAGTAGGAAATACTCAACACAAGACAGAAAACATTATCAAACATTCCCTCATCAGATTCCATGGAGTCTTTAAATAACTAAAAGATTCCATCAGTGATTCACTTTGGCATTCAGTGTTGGTGTTGTGTAGGAGGATTGATGTTAACGTCTGTTGTTGTATCTCTCACAGGAAAGCAAATGAAGGCCTGTTGGCGCTCAGTCAGGAGGACACCATGCCCATCTCCATACGGCAGCTAGCTTATGGTAAACATCCATCACATGCTGCTTCTAGTAGTCCAATAAACAGCCGATGTTTTGTTTAAGTGTGCGTGTCGTTGGTTTGCAGTATCAGGTCTGGGCTTTGGCTTCATGAGTGGAGCGTTCTCTGTGGTCAACATACTCTCAGATTCCTTGGGTCCGGGAACTGTCGGTATCCATGGCGACCCTCAACATTACTTCATATCCTCAGGTAATGACATGCCAGTTAGTGTTTAAACCCAGCGAATAATACTGAGTGTCTCGAGCAAGCAGCGTATGCTTTCTCTCCACAGCTTTCATGACACTGGCCATTATCTTGCTGCATATGTTCTGGGGGGTTGTTTTCTTCGAGTCGTGTGAGCGACAGAGATGGTGGGCTCTTGGAGCTGTGGTCATCAGTCATCTAGTAGTATCATGTGTAGTAAGTGAACACACATCATGCATATAAAACTATATGAATAAATGAAGATATAAATATATTGCTGTCTTAAATTACAATTTTCCTGTAAAGTAAAAAAAAAACTATTGATAAATTATTATATATAATTAATATTTAATTATGTAATGTAATTATTATGCAATTTACAATATAATATTTAAGATTTCAGAATAATATTATTAAATTCTTCAAATCTTCAAGCATTTATTTTGGTGATCTTCTACGCACAGAAATTTAGGAAATTGTGCAAACATTGTGTTCCCAAAATTCACATTAAACTCACTGCACATACAGAGATGGATTTCTTGAGAAGCAGCATTTACTGTGCAATGCTGTATTGTTAATTGTGGCACATTTATTCATTTTAATTTTGCATTCAATTTAATTATCATCTTTTCATCAACTCACGAACCCTGTACAGTTCCCTCACGAACAGTAATCATTACTCAGAGAAGAGCAACAGACACAAGCAGCTGACTCACTCTGATCACAAGTGCACCATGTGAAACACAGTTGTTACATCTTTGTATTGGTACTTTTTTTCCCCCCATACAGACATTTGTGAACCCACACTATCAAGGCAGTCTGATCCCGACCTACATCATTCTGTCTATCATGGCGGCCTGGGCGTACTTGTGTGCTGGAGGATCTTTGAGGAACCTCAAACTCTGCCTCACCTGTAAAGATAAAGACTTCTTGCTGGCCAATCACAGGCCAAGATAACCCATCAGCTACAAACAGGACTTTCTCCAAAGACTGGCTCATTGAGCCAGTAGGCCGATGACACGGCCAGCAGCCCTGGACTCTGGGAGGCTTATGGTCTGTGTAGTCTGCATAAGAATGGTTGCTGAGTAACAGGAATTTTATGTCTGCAGATCTTGCACTTTCTGTAATTACCTCCTCTTCTGTTTTCTGTTCTGTACCTCATGTTCTGTGTGTGAAAGAGACACTGAAACTATGTCAAAGTGAGAGTGTGTGTATGTTTTATACTAAAGAATTGTCTAGAGCTGCTTTCATATGTGATTTTCTCCTTTGTAGCAGGTTTGAAAAAAGGTCTTGTATAGGTTTGGCCTTAAATAGTTTACTCTCCCCCTTGCCAGGCATTGTCCCGCTGTATTTTGTTTAGGCTCAAATAATTTGCCACTATCCTGACATCAGCGATCAAACCCTGGAGCGTAACGTTGTGTTTTCCTTTTAATTCATCTGTCTGAAAGCTTGTCTTTTAAAAGACCCTCCTCAACTCTCCCTAGGGCAGCGGTTTAATTTTCCCAGTGGAACGTGTTTGAACAGCTTGGGCTTGAATGATAAATGTAGTGGCCACTCTTCAATAAAACCACTACTCTCTGAATCTATGCTATAAGAAACTATGGATGATTTTAAACATGTAGGTGACCACTGACCCCAGTGGTGTCTGTTTTATTGGATTAGATGTCACTTTTATTGGACTCATATGCTTTGTTTCCTTTGGCTGTAAGGTGTATGAAATTTTGATTCACAATAAAGTAGCTTGAGCTCGAATCCATTGTAATTGGCTTGTTTTTTCATGAACATTTTGTTCTGAATACATTTTTTACAGTTTTTTTTCCCCCAACGGTGTAAATATTTTCAAATAAGCAGAGGGAAAATATATATACATATATATAGAGAGAGGTAAAAGCAATAATATTGGGAAATTTTACCATTTTAAATAACTTTTCTGTTTTAATATTCTAAAATGTCATTATTCTTTTGATGGTAACGCTGAATTTTCAGCAGTCATTACTTCAATCTTCAGTGTCGCATGATCCTTCAGAAATGATTCTGAAATATGATTTACTGATTTTAATTTAAGAATATGAAATATTAATTATTAATATTGTATTTTGTATATTACATTACAAAATAATTGAATATATATATAATAATGTATATGTATATGACCCTTCATAATACATATATACATAAAACATACATATATTTTTACTTTACAGGACAATTGTAATTTAAAACAGTATCTTCATCTGCATTTTTAGAGAGTTAAAACAACAAACACCATATATATGCGACCAAATTAGAAATATATATTTGATCTGTTTATCTTGCATGTTATGCAATCACTAACCGACATCAGAGAACCATGAACATGCGATTGTGACTTTACATCATTGAAATATTAACTTAAAATCTCTGGGGGTACTTCTAGTATATATTTTGTTTCTAAGAGGTTCAGCTGACAAAAAAAGTGTTTGGGAAAATATATAAAGCGTAAAAGCAGTAACACTGAAATTGTACAATTTTAAATAACTGTTCTGATTTAATATATTTTATACTGTCATTCCTTTGATGGCAAAGCTGAATTTTCAGCAGTCATTACTTCAGTCTTCGGTGTTGCATGGTCCTTCAGAAAAGATTCTGAAATATGACTTGCTGCTCAAGAAACATTTCTCATGTCATTATAAATGTCTCTACTGTCACATTCAATTTAAAGTGTCCTTGTGGAATAAAAGTATTAATTATAAGTATTATCTTAACCCTAAACTTAATGAAATGTTTTTTCCCAGGTCATTTTGGACTTTTGAATAACCATCAAAAATGCTGTTTCAGATTCAAACATTTATTGCATCTGACATAAGAAATCTGGTGTAGGCGATTAAAAAAATTCAAATAAATACAGGTACTCATGTAAAACAATTTCCTAATGAAGCATTATACATACTGTACAAATTTTTCTTTTTTTGTCATTCTATACATTTTTTTTTAAAATAAAACAGTTTCATGCAGAATATCCTGAAAAAAAGGCAGCGCCAAAAGAAGAATGAATAGTGGAGAAAGACTGTGCTTCAAAGTAAAGAGAAGGCGAGTGTGTACATGTGTGTAAACAGATTGTGCGGCCCACCCAAGTTCAGCTTAATTGCGAAGAAACGAAAGGTGAAACACTTGATTATGTGTTGAAAACATCTGTAAGCATAAAAATCATAAAAGCCTGCACCGAATACTAAACTGAGTCCTACACAGCATACACTGTGTTTACATGTGCATGTAGGGGGTCAGTAATCTGTGTCCGACCCCTCTGCGTTGTCCACATTGCGGGAGAGCATGTAGTTGTCCATGTCGATAGAACGGCAGTTATTAATAGCATAACGCAGCCGCTCCGCCATGACTGGTTGGCTAGAGTAAGGTGGGAGGCGGAGCTGGAAGAAGCACGTCTGAGAGGTGGGAAGACTGTCGTACGGCTGAAAAACAGAAGAAACACACATTAGCCACTTTTCCACTGGCTATAAATGTCCATCCATAAAAACACAGACACATTCTTACCCGGTCCACCTTCATGATCTGGAACCTCTGGGATATATCAGCAGTGTTAGCTGGCAGACGAGAGCGTCCCGAGACGAAGCGCATGAAGAGGACTCTCTCCTCATTGGAGAACTCCTCCAGCGTCTGCCAGAACCACTGCACCAGCTGTTGCTGCTCGTCCACCTCCCTGTAGCGGACCACCTTCTTCAGAACCTCCACGCTGATCTCCGGCAGCCCGCAGACCATCTGCTCCAGCTGCCGCGCTGTTAGTAAGGAGAGCAAGGGAACAGGCACGATCCAGGACATGCCCTCGCGCACCGCTGCCACCTAATGCGCATTCAGAGGTGAACACAAAAGAAGAGATGAATAACAGGATCAGATGACAAGTCATGATCTAGGTGTGGATACACTCCCACATATTCAAGGTAAGGATACACTGGTTTAGAGTCGAGCTGAACACACCTGGCGTTCCATTTCATGCAGGCGATACTCAATGGCACGCTCTACATACTCCTTCCTATTGGAAAAGGTCAGCGGTATGCTGTTTCCTCCAGGGATGATGGGAACCATTTTCCCATCTGCACTTTGGCCAACAAAGGAGTCCAGTGGAATCATCTATATATAAAAAAAGAAAAAAGAAAAAGAAATGAACAAAGAAATATACACCAAGTAAAATAAAGTCAAAGAAATTAAACCAATTAAAAAATGTCCATGTTTTAAGTAGACATTATAAGATTTGAAAGCCCCCAATTTACTTCTGGTATAATGACAATGCTGCTGATTTTTTAACCTCTTTTATTTACAGAAACGAGGAAATAAATGAAAGATAAATTGATTTAATACTTAAATATTTATATAAATATTATAAATAATATGTATAATAATAGTAGTAATAATAATATTTATTTAAATAAAAATAATTCTAAAAGTTTAAATAACAATGTTCTTTACACTTTTTTTATTACCAATTAATTTATGACTTTCCTAGCCATTTATGATTAAAGGTTTTTAAATGTTTTTGCTCAAAATTTGTACCTGATAAAATATTTTAGAGCTTGACATAACTAGATTTTTTTTTTTTTTTTTACAAGAAAAATATTTTCATTAACCATTTTTCTATTACTTTTTAAGATTTTATTAATATTCATGACTTTTCCAAGTCTATAGATCACATTTTTATCCAGGTTTTCCAAGGCTGTGGGAATTCTGGTTCTTAAAAATAAAAGTTGTTGAGGGAACAAATTAAAATAAGAAATATGAGTTCAGCTTAAATCAGATTTTTTTGTTTTAGCTTAGTTTAAAGCATATTCAGTCTTATTCCGAGTCATTCAAAACCACCTTGGGGCCTCTTGGAACTATGTTGAAGCCCCCTGCTTAAGATACACTGAGCTAGACGGAGTAAATAATTCCTTCTATTATCCTCTATGAGAAACAGAGTAAAAACAAGTATTTTATGGGAGTCCACAGCACCTCATGAAAGTTCTGCTCTGTGATGCCGCTGTCCTCCAGGTGTAAGATGCTGTTGAGGGTCTGCACATACAGCAGGTCCACTTCCTCCAGATCTTCAAGAGTGAGAGGAATACAGCACAGCTGCTTCCACACCACTGGAGCGAGATGCAGGTCTAGAGGCTTCTTAGTGCGGATGGCCACTCCCATCAGAATACCCAAGAACTTGAACTGCAGCAGGTGCTCTTCCAGACAGGCTGAGGGGTTCAGCAAGAACCTGAAGACACACAAAGATCAAGAAAACCTGATCAGTTTATTAGTTTGGTGGAATACAATATTCAGACAATTGTCTGTCGGCACTCACCTGTCTCGGTTGTAGCCCACCTCTGCTGCGGCGTTGGGAGAAGGGATGAGAAGATCCACCACTCCTGTCTCCAGCTCCTACACAAGAGCGATATGCCCCAATTTAACGCTCTTGTCATTTTTCATAAGGCTGAGCCATAATGGGTTCATATACACATCTCCGTCAGTATCGCCCTACCTGGCACATCTCTGTGATTGTGTCGTCAAACACCCCTCCGGCATCATCTGCCCCCTCTCCCACAAGCTTGACTTTCCAGGCTCGTGACGGCAGCCTTAGATCAGATGCGTTTAGTTTCACAACCTGCCTGGCGATCTGCACAAATATGGGCTTACACTTCCTTCCTCTGAGAAAACAGGACAAAAAAGGGGGGAAAAAAGAATGATTGAAGAAGTTCTTATGTTCTACCTCGAATGAAAATGAGGCAAAGAATGTCTCCAGTGTTCTGGCTGCAACTCTGAACATGACTGACCGTGTAGAGATTCTTTTGACTGTAATCTGTGGGCCGTAGTTCTTCCCCTGCACCATGGTCTTCCCGATAGAGCGCACCATGGGCAGTGTGTAAACTCCAGGGGCCAGCAGGGGCCTCAGCTGACCCTGGACTATACCCCATGTACCTGCATTATAGCGTGACGTGCAGCTCTGAAACACAAATGATTCATGATCGAACCAGACAGTGTTCATGGAGGTTTTTTCCCCCAACAGCCTCAGAGTAAAGAGACAATATGATGCAAACATGACATGTTTGTGGGTGTATACCTGGTTGTTGGGGCTGAGGTTCAGCAGTCTCCATGAGGAGTACATGAGGTCAGAGAAGTGGTAGAGCAGGCGCAGTCGGGCTCTCAGAGCCTCCATACTGACCTCTCTCAGGACACTGTACTGAGGAGGCACACACAGGGGCAAGCCCAGCTGCAGAGGCACTGATGAGCCTGAACACACAAACACTCCATCTCAACAACTGATCAGCACAGCTACATGGTTTTTTATATCATCACTGAACTGAAATCATTGAGTCTAATTATGATTTTCACAAATAACTGTGATGCCCTCCATTTAGGGATTTTTAAGTGACTATACAAATAACAGGTCTGTCAAATTCATGTGAAAGTAACAAGTCGCATAGGAAGAGATTTCTACAAATCTGGAATGAGGAGGACATCAAAAAAACTACACACTAAAATGTGAAGATTTTTATTTATGCAAAATCAGAGCATCTGCAGTATTTTTTTTTTAATCAAACTGAAGACTTTTTAAGACCTTTTTTTAAGACCTACACAAATAAAATTAATATCATATGAGCGGGATAGGGCATTGTCTATGTATGTTAACATATTAAACCGTAAAATTAATGTAAAAGCATGATTTACAGTTCAGATACAGGTGTTCACAAAAACAAATTTTTTATTAAATGATAAGCTTCACATTTGAGCCTCTAAACCATTTATAAGAAAAGGGATTCAAAAGTCAAAAGCACATATTATATATCTTAGTGTCTTAATTGTTTAGATTTGTATAATGCATTAGCTTCTTGTCAATCCACCGGTTAACATTTACAACTCTGCGTGTTTGCAGCGTAAAAACAACGGTAGATTTTCACATTGGTCTGAACAAAAACAGCAGGCAGGCTGATAGAAAATGTATATTCATTCTCTGCCAGCAGGAGGCGCTTTCGGAACAGCAGAAATATAGCGTTTCCCTGGTAACCGCAGTACACAAAGCTAAGGAGCACTTGTCTTTGAAATGCAGCCTTTTGACGTTTAATCGGCACATTAAGACATATCGCAATTCTTGTCTTTCCGTCCACAAATTTAAGACCTCTTGAAATCATAATTTCGACTTTCTTGTACCATTTAAGATTTTTTATGGCCTTAAATTTAATACAACTAAATCTAAGACTATAAGGACCCGCAGAAACCCTGAAAAAAGACTTAAAGGTTTCAGCAGACTGCTTTGAAATATGTTAAAAATAAGGAATTAGTGCAAAAAAAAATGATCATCAACTAATATACTACAATACTGAAAAGTAATTGTATTCTTCTAATAATACTATTCTAACAATAAAAATATTAATGATAATATTAAATAATTATAGAAATAGAATACATATGTGTGTGTGTATATATATAAAATCATGAAAATGGCATTCATGAAATTCATTGAATTTTTCAATGAAACTTTTCACTAAATAAACAGAGATAATATTTGTCATTATATGTGTGTGTGTGTGTATATATATATATATATATATATATACGTATATGTATATGTATTTCATTAATATTTTTTTATTATTACAATATTACTTCAAGAATGTAATATATAATTACTTTTCAATATTATAGTATATTAGTTGATCATTTTATCATCATCATCATCATCATCTTTGCACTAATTCCTTATCTGTAAAGCATTTCAAAGCAGTCCAGTTAAACCCTTAAGCCTTTATTTCGTATAAATTAAAACCTTTAAATTTTAGTGCGTAGATTTTTTTTGATGTCCTCAATCCACTGCCAACTTGAAAACAATAAAAAAATTATCTATATCTAATATACAATAATACTGAATAATAATTATATTCTAATAACAATAATATTAATAATAATAATAAATGACAGTGTGTATGTGTCTGTACCTGGAGCACGTGGCGGTACAGGCGGTGCAGTCCATGCTGCACTGTGGCAGCGGCCTGCAGATATCTGCTGGATGTTTTTGCCTTGTAAAGCACTGATGAGGGTCGGCTCTCTAACATGGATGGTGAGGCCCAAGCCCTGCTAATAAAAAATTTATAAAAACACAAACTAATAAATTTCTATGCTACTGTTCAGATATTACATAAAACCAATGGAAAATGGGAAACATAATTAGTTTGTTTTTATTAAAAACAATAACCCCCCCAGCAATCACACACCTGTCCCTCTGAGTTGCTCCCCCAGGCATAAACATCTCCAGTTGATGAGAGAACAAGCGCGTGTTCGGCCCCAACAGCCACATCTTCTATAAACACGGCCATTAAAGCAGGGACTTGCTGAGGCCGGTTATGATTTCGTGCTCGACCCTCTGGCAGACCAATCAAGCGATCTGTCACATTATAGCAAAAACAATGAAATAAAAACACTGGACTTGCTTTAACATTCAGCAAACAGTTTATAGAAGTGTGAAGCTTCTCCCTGAGACAAGTATGTCTGCGGATGGCTTACCCTGCCCAAACGTGTACACGTTTCCATCTCTGGTTAGAGCAACAGAGAACTGTGTGCCACATGCCACCTTCTTTATTCCAATTCCACACAAAACATCCACTTTCTATAAAATAAACCCACAGACTTAATTTAGTGAAGACCAAGAGTTTTGTTTATGACATGTAATGTTTAATTGTATATGCTTGTGATGGTGTTGTCACATTAACGTGTCAGTAGTTGTACCTGTGGGGAGGATTTGGCTGTAGAGTTTCCCAGTCCCAGTTTGCCATAGTCTCCATCTCCAAACGCCCAGACGGTCATTCCATCAGCCGATACTGCCAAAGTGTGATTCAGCCCACATGCAACCTACACACAACCATGATACCATAAACATCAGATAAGACAGTGTTCAGAGGCTGTTCAAAAGTCCACACTGAGAATCTGGGATTTAAAATCCAATTTAAACATGGAAATATACAACATTTATTTATATAAGAAAAAGGGGATAAATAAATGCCTTCATTCATTTATTCTTAATACATTTAATATAATGTTAAATAAATAATATAAAAATATATATAATAAAAAAAAAAAAACTTTTGAATGGCACTGTATGAAGAAAGTCTTACCTGCCCAACCTGGTGGCCCTCCAGTGCACTGACTCGCTCTGGTAACTTTTTGTTAGAGGTGTTTCCAAGTCCCAGTCTGCCATAATCTCCATTACCAAAGGAGAAGAGCTTTCCGTCTGCAGTCACCACCGCTGAGTGTTTAAATCCACACGACATCTGAACAAAACACATTCTGATATAGGGCTGCATGATAACGGTTAAACTGATAATCACGATTATTTTAACTTAAAATTATAATAAAGACTATTAATAACGATTATTCTATCAAAAGGGTAAATGCAATAACATTTCACGTATCCTTTAACCAACCTCCACTGACTATACACTGACTTCATTTAACCAACTATGATAATGCAAAACTCATGGTTTTGGTTAGTGTTTTGTAATCTGTATTCACATTAGATTTTCTAAGTGAAAATTTGTTCGCAAATGAGACAAGCCACTCAGATCGCGCAGCAAATTTGCTCAAAGGTCGTTAATACACACTGAAAACTAACATTGCCATGCTGTTTTTAACTGATTAACATTATAAAACTGGTAAAAACTTTAGAAACTCTTAATATAACTTCCAACAATTCCAATTTATGTACGTTACATTTTTCCCCATTGTATTGCCACAGGTAGCAAAAGCGCATTTATTCCTCAAACACAATAGATCCATATTGAAACTTGGTAAAAGTTTGATCATGGCAGATTTGGTTACACAAACAGCACAAATGGCTTGTGAAAAAAAAAAAATAATTGGCTGTATGACACTTTCATGTAAGCAGGATATCGCTGTGGAGAGATCGCAAAACTCCAGCACATGTATGTTTTCATATCATCAGCGCTTGCACGTTCTGCCATCAGTGAGCGCACACAGGGTTGCCAGTAGTGTTGTCACGGTACCAAAATTTCAGTATTCGGTACCAATACCTGTGAAAATCCACGGTTCTCGGTACCAATTTCGGTACCAAAGCAAAACACAAAAACATGCTAATTAAAAAAATGTGACTATACTTTCATTTAATCCAAACTGTGTACATATTTCATTTTAAAGGGCTTTTAAAACCTTCTAGAGTTATTCAGCCAAGAATAACAACTAAGTTAGCTAAAAAAATAAAAAAGCCCAGAACTGCTTTTCTGACTGATATGACACAATGTTAACCATTTGTACATTCTCTAACACGCATATATTTTAGATTTACAATTAATTTAAAAGCCTCTGGTGTGTAAAAATAGTAAATATCATCATGTCCTCCTGTTTTTTTTTTTTTACCATAATAAAAGTTATAGGAGCATTAAATAGTTAATGAAGAAACTTCATTCTAATGCTCATTATATTAGAGTTAACCGCGCTTATGCTAACGATTAACTACTCTAATAACAGCGATGTTCATTTCAATCCGACATTCAAATTAAAATAATGAATAATATTCATAACAGAAGCGGTGTTTCCCACATACTTGCACTCTATTTGTGGCGGCATATATATGCAAATTCATTCTCTGCCAGCAGGAGGAGCTTGTAGAGCGGGAGAGATAGAGGTTTCCCCAGTAACGGCTGTACTTCAAGATGCTGCTCAGGCATTACAGGCAAGATGAAATGAAAATGACATCCATAATTTTCTGAAGACAGTCAAGCGGTGTTTCCCACAGACTTGCACTCTATTTGTGGCGGCATATATGTGCAAATTCATTCTCTGCCAGCAGGAGGAGCTTGTAGAGCGGGAGAGATAGAGGTTTCCCCAGTAACGGCTGTACTTCAAGATGCTGCTCAGGCATTACAGGCAAGATGAAATGAAAATGACATCCATAATTTTCTGAAGACAGTCGGTTTCCTTCAGACGATATCTCCATTTGCATTGAAGTTTCAGCTTCGTAAACTTTGCAGATATTGTTTATGCTCAAACAGCAACATTACACACTAACTAATGTTAAAAAAGTGCTTGTAGAGCGGGAGAGATCAGGTTTCCCCAGTAACGGCTGTAATCAAATAAGTGCTGCGCTCACAAACGTTGCTTTATCAGGCATTACAGGCAAGGTGAAATGACAATGACATCCATAATTTTTTGAAGACAGTCGGTTTCCTTCAGAAATACAGTGATATAAAAACACCCACACTGGGTTTCAGCTTTGACATGTGCAGTGCTCATGTTTATTCAATGAAGTCAAAGCCTTTTGGAAAATCTATTTGTGGTGGTGAGTTTTGATTTTGTGGCGGGCCGCCACAAATAAATCAATGTATGGGATGAAATGAAATTTACCTGCTTGAACGCTTTAATTTAATCCAGGTGTCTGTCTTTAAAGTGTTTTGTTAGTTTGGTGTGTTTCCTCCTTTTGAGGTCGCCATGTCGCATCTGTGCACCTTTCGGATAGCGCATCAAGAACCGGGTTCTACTCGGTACCACCGGTACTTAAAAAAAACCTGGTACTGTACCGTTTTCATTTTTTTAGTACCGACTTGGTACCGAAGTACCGGGTCTTTTGACAACACTAGTTGCCAGATTGCACAGATTAAGTAAAACACCGGGCAGAAAGTGTATCCTTAAAGGAGATAAGCTCTGTTTTGGGGCTTAAAGCTCTTAACATCTGGCAACTACAAGCACGAACGCTAGTGAAGACTTGTTAGCAATGCAAGATAACACAAATGCCAAATTAAAAACATGTTTTCAGGATAAATAATGAGCCGGCCAATATCGTGACTCTTGTTTTTAATTAACCGAGAAAGGTGGATATCGTTATCGAGATTAAAATACGATTAATCGTGCAGCCCTATTCTGATGAACTTCATCATATACACCTCACAGGAAGAAGAAGAGAGAGGCATCTAGGCGCGTTTAGGAGTGAGGGTGAATTTGACAAGTTTTTCTGACCTGCACCACCTCCTCTCCCTGCAGTGCCTCTATCTGTCGCGGCCTGCGCTGTCTGTCACTGTTACCATGGCCCAGTTTTCCGTAATCTCCATCTCCCCAGCTGAACACCTCGCCACTCTCAGTTAGCGCCATCGAATGGCCATCAGACCCACAGGACGTTACTAGCTGGGTCACCACAAAGCCTGCACAAACACACAGCACACTTGCTGTTAACACTTTTAGGGTATTGTAACATATATAATGAAAGTTATTCAGAGTTTGTGTGTGATTGCAACATGCCTTGCAGAGCAGATATGACAGTGAGGACGTGCAGATCGTCTGAATTTCCTTGTCCGAGGCGGCCGTAACTGCCCTCGCCACATGCAGACACCGTTCCGTTAGCCTGGATCACAAATGTGCAGTTCTGCCCACAAACAACCTGACCAAACAAAATAAAATTCATTTGTTAAAAAAAAAAAAAAAAAAAAAACTTTTTGTGTGTGTGTTTATGTACACTCATACCTGTTGGGCCTGAGAAAAAGAGGGAGCCAGAGTTGGCACCAGAATGTTTCGCCCGGCCTCGGCGAGCTGCCCATGCCTGCCAGCACCCCATAAAAACATATCACACTTCCCTCCAAGGTGCCAGTCCTTAAAAACATAAAAAATTAAAAACATTTAAATATCTCTTGTTATATAATATTTATTATTTAAATAAAATATAATATTTTATTATATAATAATAAATGTGTGAATGTTTTACTTCTGGTCTGGAAGTGGCCCATGACATGATCTGCTCATCCAACCCAGACACCCACTTGCTGTTGTCCTGTGTGCGATTTTTAAAAAGGCTGTGATCATCATGAACAGCACAGTTTTTCACAATTAAATCATTTAATATGTCAGTCTCACTGCAGGACATTTGTATGTTCTTTCTCTCACCATAAGCAGTGCCAATTTGTCTTTGGCCACGGGCTCCAGGTCCGGGACGATGAAAGACTCGGGAAAGGTGTGCCCACGTGCGAGGGCTTCGGCCGTTTTGACGGCTGCCCATGCCACCCCATAAAAACATATCACACTTCCCTCCAAGGTGCCAGTCCTTAAAAACATAAAAAATTAAAAACATTTAAATATCTCTTGTTATATAATATTTATTATTTAAATAAAATATAATATTTTATTATATAATAATAAATGTGTGAATGTTTTACTTCTGGTCTGGAAGTGGCCCATGACATGATCTGCTCATCCAACCCAGACACCCACTTGCTGTTGTCCTGTGTGCGATTTTTAAAAAGGCTGTGATCATCATGAACAGCACAGTTTTTCACAATTAAATCATTTAATATGTCAGTCTCACTGCAGGACATTTGTATGTTCTTTCTCTCACCATAAGCAGTGCCAATTTGTCTTTGGCCACGGGCTCCAGGTCCGGGACGATGAAAGACTCGGGAAAGGTGTGCCCACGTGCGAGGGCTTCGGCCGTTTTGACGGTGGTGGAAAAGCAGTGAAGCCACGCCCACTCACTGTTGGCCCAGGAGATGGGGGAGGGGGTGGAGGAGGAGCCAGGCTCAGGTGGGCAGTGGGCCAGGTGAGGTGGGACAGGAGGGTGACACAGCAGAGCGTCCAGCTGCAGACCCACCGCTAGAGACGACAGACACTGCATGTAAGGACTGTGGACGAGCTGCTCTCCGCACACCACATGAGGCTGAAACACACAAATAAACCAGGTATACGCAACAGGAAATCACCACAACAATGTCCCTATTTTTTGCATTTTTACATGAACAGCATTCGCTAAAATTATATCATAATTAGTAGTTGTGTGTACCTTCTCATACGCATACTGCTCCTGAAGCATGATGGGAAGTCTCTCCAGGAAGGCTCTCATGCATGGAGCCATGTTCAGTCCCACAACGCCCTGCGTTTTTAGTGCCGTGCGGCAAGTTGCTAAGACGTGATTGGTTGACATGGACTCTGCTGAGCTATTAACGACCAGCACATCCTGCAGAACAAATACATTTCTTATTAAGTTACATCTTTTCTGAACAGAAATGGGCATCAATCAAAACATATACTTTAAGAAAATAACTTAAAAAAAAAAAAAAAAAAAAAAAAAAAAAACCCGGAAAAAAATGTGAAACTGCCCCTTATATTTTGTTTTTAATGTTTTTTTTCTACTGTTTTCCTTTAATAATTGAATCAGATGCTAATGTTAGGAACAGTCATTTAATTATGATATATGTGTTATGTAACCATAACGGCTTTGTTTATTAAAAACAGAGTAAAAAAACAACAACATCTTTTCTAGATTTGATAAAAAATAAAAAAAACTCATCAAAATGAATGAAAATCAACTAAAATGTAAACATTCGGGATTCTTTTACCTTTGAGCGATTGGAGCAAACAGCTACACCTACGTCAGGGATCCAAACTGTTCTGTTAATTGCTCCAGATCCAGCAACTACTGTCTGCAGCACTGATCCATCCTACATGTATAAACATATGCACAAACGACATGAAAACACTAAAGTGAATCCTTTGAAGTTTGTTTGTTAGGACTGTAAGTTAGCCTGTATGCATCTGTGAAGTGTGTGACCATGTTAGACACTGACCCGCAAAGACCAGATGTTCAAAAGTCCGCCAACTCCTCCAGACACAAGAGCAAGCCCATCTGGACTGAACGCTACTGTCCGCACAGGAGTCATATGACCCTGCAGCTGGAACACACACACTGCTCTTTCACACCGCTGGGGGTCCAGCTGGACAGAGATCAGGGAAGTCACATAACACACATAAACATAAATACTAACTGATAAGGAAGCACTGATAGCAAAGCATTTAAAGGTTTTTGATTGCTCATATGTATGGACACGTTACCATCAGTTTGGATTTGAATTTTGATTCCCACCAGGCATCAGGGCAGGCAGTGCTGGACTGTGAGTATGAAGAAGGGTCCTGCGGTACCGTCCACACAGTCACCAGACCGTTCTGACAACATCTGTGAGAAAGATTTTTAATCCCTCAATGATGTTTATGATCATATTCTTAATTTAGGTTAAGGACATATTTCACAATGCACACTTAATGAATAAAAGGTGAATATATATATATATATATATATATATATATATATATATTTACACACTT